AGAAAAGGCTTTGGCTAAATAGATTCTTTGACTGCCAAGGATTAGAGTCATGGCACCAGTGGTAACACACATCTTTTCCTTTAATTTACAAAATTTTCTCACGAGTTTGCAAGAGTTCACCCCATCAGGGGCTTTCTGAGGCCATTCAAACGTCTTAAGTTTTAATTAAGTTGGAGTTGTCAGAAGAAAGCTTTTTTGGCACAGAGTCAGGGTCATTAATTACTGCTATCTTTGTTTCTTTCAGAAAAAAGAAGTCTACTGACTTGTTGGGTTACTTATACAGCCTACGTTTCTATCCTACAATCCTTATTCACCTCCAAGCAAGGCTTGATTAAGCAGTTTACCAATTACTTCCATCAATCTATTTTACAAATCCTATGGGTAATCTTAGCTTCAGAAGCTTTTCTCTCTTCTGGGTTGAGGTACAGTAGTAATGAAAGCAGCATTACTGTTAGAACCACAAAGCATTTTAAAATTCTAGATTTTCCATCCTAAATGGTACTTGAATCACATTCCTGATTTTATCACTCCATACCCATCCTCTTATATGCTTGTAGCTGGATTGTCAGTTTTTAGTAGACACAAACCACACTGCATAAAACTAAGCAGAATAAACATAATTTCTTTGTTATCTTGCAATTGTAGGGTAGAAGTTCGTGTTTTCTGTAAGTTGAATAAATACCTGCAAACAAACTAGCATTAAAATCACAGGACATGGTATCTGCATTTGATAATATTAGAAAGTTTATTGCTAGCTGCCATTTACCAAAAAAAATGAAAAAATACAGAATAATTAACTAAAATTGTTACCCCGTAAAAATTATTCACTGGCCTAAGTAAAGAATAATTTGTAGGCTTTGTTTCTACCAGATGCATTCACATCATAAGAAAAGCCAACACCTTAACTGGCACTAATTTGCTGCTTCATCAGAGTTTGAGATATGGGGAATGTATTGTCTCCTCATTCCTAGAGATAATGGCCTCAAGGCTCAGTGTAAAATATACTTTTATATAGCAACATGCTTTATATCTATCCCACAGATAAAGTCAAGATTTTGATTTCTAAGCCTGTCTGTTCTTTGCCTCTGGTGATCACTAAACTTCACATGCATACACAATTAATATATATATTCCTCTAAAACAAATACACCACTGTTTGATAGTCATATTTTTTCAGATACATGGTAAATGCTTGGATTTATACAAAGTATTTTGCATAAATAACATTACCGTTATTAGAAAGCTTGATAACTAGATATTTTTCTAAATACACCACTTGTTCATTTAAATGAAGTTTGTTTTATCAAAATCCTCAAATTCCTTGAAGCCTGCAAAAAGCCTATGTTAAACTACATATTTTGTACTGTTTTTAATAAAAACATTGGCAAAATAATGTTTTTTCAGAAACCCGGAATTGGATTTCTGATTTATGGAGTATACTTTACCATTTTGATCTACGCAGCTCAGCAAGTGGTTGCTCAGAGACTGCAAGACTTGAAATGTCTGTGGCATAGTATAAATTATTTTGATCCTCCCGTGGGTATTTACTTAATTTCTCACCCATTTACTGTACTTCGCATAAAATGGCAGAGGCGAGATAGAAACTATTAAAAAGCTAGGAACACTACCAAGAACGTTAACCAGCTCTGGGAAGTTAAGATACCTGCAACAGAGGCAATCTGCTGTTGAACAAACTACTTTGCTGCTATGCACTATGTTTCTGTCTGTTACCTGTGTTTCCTAAATCCAACATTCAAAAAAAAAAAAAAATACCATAGAAATTATAGCAGCTATTTATTTCATAAAATATTGAAAAATGGTACTACAAAGAGATTACAAAACTGTGTTGAAACTTATAAAATAGCCATCTCTGTATCTGTGGCATTTTATTTGTAACAATTTCATTGTGTCACTGATTGCCAAAACATCATGGAATTGCATCAATCTTTGTTACTCTTTTCAATTTTTTCACCTTAGTTAACATCATCTTTAACACCAAAAGAAATCCAGCCATTTATTTATGTCTACAAGATGAGTCTATATAGGGTTACATAGCTGTCATCATACCCCTGAATTCTTTCTTCCTACATACAATACTGTTGTCACCAGCTTGGCCAGTGCATGCCTGCAACTTGTTGCTAAAGTGCTCTTGAAGTGGGAGACTGGAAGAACCAAACATCAGGAACATGGTCTCCCACCCTTGTGTTTTCCAGGCTGCAGCTACCACCAGTGTGAGTTATGGTACCTGCACCTACAGCACTGGGAATGGACACCTTAAAACTTTTCTCTCTTTTCTCTCTCCTCTAGTAAGGACTTTACCCAGCCTTTTCAGAACTCCAGATAACTTTTATTATTTTTCTTCTGTAGTTGAACAATATCTTTAAATTACACTTCTCTCTTTAAATAAATGCACAGAGAAATAAATACCATAATAAGAAAATATGTACCGGGCTGGCAGTGCCAAAAAGCCCTTTAAGAGGCTTACACGTTTTATTCTACA